ACAGCTTTATTTGATCAAGTAACTTCTGCACTTCTCTGATTTAGATAGTTTCCGAAGCATTCACTGCTTCACATTCATCTTTGTTGTGATGCTTAGCTCCGTTTGAACTGAATCTACCTCATAAGGGGACTTGATACAAAAAGTTTACATGATACACTTCTTCATCAGATTCTAAACAGGAGATTTCTTCTTCAAAAGACGTTCACCAATAGACGCGCAGCGAGATTAGTTTTCAGTCAGATCCCATTTATCCTCTGGTGGCATATGAATAGTCTTACTTGTAGGATTGAATACCACATCCATTTGACGAAGACCGAAACCGACCTTTGGAAGCCTTGAGGCCACAGCAATGCATTCTTTGGGCTAGCTGGATTGCCTTCCTGCAAATAATGCTCTCCACTATGGAGGAACTCACCGTGCTTTCCCTCCATAGCCTTATTTACTGTCTTAAACTTTGTCGGTTTTCAGGTTTCATCCTTCCTGAGATGCTGCAGCATTCACAAATTCTTTCATAGTCGTTCGATGGGATATGATAATGTAAACAGTTTTTTCTTGAAATACTAAGTGATTTGGCTTCAGAGCTCTGAGTTGTACCTGACTGATTCAACATTTCCAACACATTCCACTTCTCTCTGATCGAAAGGCGCTTGCACATTTTGAAGTCAAGTGACACTATCTTCGATTCTTGGCATCAGTGTGTCTTCCCCACAGGGATTATCCAATCAGTGAATAGTATCATATTCGCGTCACACTAGGTGAAACGCCATTGGTTGAACGCGGCATTGCGGTCAATGACCGTTCCGAACATCGATCAGCGACCAAGTGAATAGATAGGAGGAACTGCGACATGTTGAGGGGAGCGACATTGCATAGTCAGAAACTAGGTTATTACGGTTCGTTTGGGTTTTCTAAAAAGTGGGAAGATATTGGAAAATGCGACTTCTCAGGGGTGCGACGTGGCAGGGGATTAAGGGTATACAACGAGGATTCCGATGACGTGGATCACCTTTTGTTCATTCTAAAAATTTTCTGATTGGAATTGTACAAGTCGTTTAAGTCTAAATTCTACTAGAAACTCACTGCTAAATTGCGGACAAGCATCAAATGCTAATGAATTTGCGAAAAGGTCGAAAAACAACCCTTTTGTTAGATGGGACCAAAGGGTAGTAACATTGTTCCAGATGGATCGTTTGCTGTTTCCATAGTTCGTTCACCTCTTGTGGAGAATCTCACCGGGTAAATGGAATTCGATAAGGAGCGGCGGTGCTCAAGAGGTTAATGTAGCCATCATATTGACCCGTACGTTGGGAATGCGAATTCCATCAACGAAGCTTGACTTCCCAGTCACAAATCAGCTGCGGTTCGTAACTCCAACGCCTGGAAACGCTTCCGGCAACATAACTCTGCACCTCCGAAGTAAACCACAGACGAACCTACTAAATAACCCTGAGAATAGCACAATGTCACGAAGGATTATCCCGTTACTGATGAGCGATGAGACTACGTTTGGACGTGGTGTGATGACTTGAGCACCTTTATGATCACCTGTGATCAACTGAGTTACGCACGTTGCCTTTTGTCGCGCCGAAGATATGCTCATATCTGGATGGTTGAAGAGTAGAGAACAGAAAAAGTAGTCTCTTTGGAAATTGGGGGCTTTTGCGTATCAGGGACACGAATTTAAGATACTAGTGCTATAAGCCACTTAATTGCACCGAATCTGTCCTCGAAGTGCTTCCTTCACACAACAGGACACTATAAAGCCTGTTCACTGGGTCAGCGTGAAGTAGGAATCGGACTAAACAACAAGATAAGTCTCACTTATAGATTGGATACCCGTCCGCAGTTGTTTGTGTCTAATGAGGCTCCAGGGTTCAGTTAGTACTCGGAAGGGAAGCAACACTGAGAGGTGCCTGTTCATCACATCGGTTTATGCAGCAACCACCTGCAGTCCGAATACACAAAAGAGCGAATTTTATGAAAAACACCGATTCATTTTGGTGAGCCGCAACTCTGATGTTATGGTGCTGAGCGTGGATTTTAACGCGTAGATTGAAAAACTGAGCACATCCGAGGTCTGTCTAGGGCGGCGTTTTGTTTTGCGCTCCCAACGACCAGGCAGCGGAGATCGACTACTTCAGTTCCGTGTAGACGGTAGTGACACTGCTCTCAGCGGCGGCAACATGGTGCCATAGTTCGGCAGGAAGTTGACCACAGCTGTAAGCCACCTTTGGTGAGGCTCAGTACTAACATAGCAGATCCTATTAGGCCACATATGTTTCACTCTTCGATTCATCGAGCATGCGAAGAATTCGCCCCATCCCCCAGTTAGTTCATAGTTCGTCTGCTCGATCCAGCTGTTTGTGCGCGTTTAGGGAAAAGCTTTGACACGAGCTACGAGTTCCGCGACGTGGCGGAGTAGATCAACAGAGGGATAAGATGTGCAATGCATTCGGCAAGCACGCTTGCTGGTGGTGCCGAGCAGGAAATCCGACGAAGACACTGGATCTCTCAGGAATCAGTAACCCCAATGGAACAAAAGCGCAAGATCTTCCATAATCAGCATAGGAAACCCCTGGAGTCTAGAAAGACAACCACGGAAAAGCCTTAGGGAAGATCGTGAAATCTGTTAGACTAGAATTAGTATCGAAATCGAATTAATCTCCGCATCAGGGTATAGTAAAATACTTTCACATGATACACAGCACCGGAGGTCGTTGCATGTCGTTCAACGAAATCGTTTACAGTGAAAGTAGGCAGAGCATCCATAATAAAAAACCGGCTTGGTCTCCTGGTACAGTATTTTAACACAGTTTAACTAACCTGGTGCCTGTCCTATTGTTCCGGTGATCGCCCCGGAAACTCTGTGGGCGGCAATATGTGGGCCTCCGGTATAAATAGAAGTACGAGGTTGTATTTAATCACTGAATTACGAGAAGGCAGCGAGTGCTGATTGGCCTCTCTTTTTTCTTTCTGTTACTAGTGCACTACACAGCGTTTAGTCAGAAAAAAGTACCTCTTCCTTGGGAGGCGAATCATTGATCGTTCCGATCTTCAAGAAGGGCCCACGCAAGAACTGCGCAAACCATCGTGGTATAAGTTCAGTTCCCATAATCTCAAGAGTGTTAACTTCTGTGATCCTTCGCCGCCTGACGCCCATAAGGGAGACGAACAGCAAGCAGGATTTAGATCAAGTCGCAGTTGTATCGGCCGAATATTCACCTCGCGTTCAGTGCTCCAGTTATGCCACACACCGTCGACCAACAATCGTATTATTCCTTAACCTCTTGGCAGTCTTCTATTCAGTTGCCCGCGAGGTCTCTGGTTCTCAAAGGAAAGCCGCAGAATTGTACAAACCTATTGAGATTACTATACTTGCATACGGGCTACGGTTCGAAACAAACAGCAGTGTTCGTCAAGAGTGCCCTTTTTCGGCGTTCCTGTTAAACTTCGTCTAGATACTGAAGAACGAACTACGTGTTCTCCAAAATGTGAGTATTGAAGGGGAAGCAAGAGTACGCTGACCGCATCGTTTGTTTATTCGAATGTATGGAAGATGCGCACGGAGCTCTTGGCAGACTTTCAAGTCCTGTAACTGCATTCCACATGCGCTTTATACCTTCAAAATGCAAAGTGATAGTGAATAACTGGTTATCATCTACCCTAGCTTTGTTGCTTGGCGATCAGGTATTAGTTATATTGGGATGCTTCTAATACTTATGTCGTTTCGCGATAAAACGCGACAGTGTGGTCAAGGAAGTAACCGCACGCATTTCTGAGGTACGAGCAGCATACGCAAGACTGAAATACCTTTGGCGCGACGTGATGTTGCCTGGAAACTGAAAGGCTGTGTGTATTGTGTGACTGTGCGGCCGGTTCTGTTTTGCAGTTGTCAGATCCTAACTTTGCACATGGAAGGTGTTTGCCATTTAAAAGTCCTCGGCTATGGAAGTTTAGGTAGTTTGGCAAGGAGTGAATGGAATGAGCACGTAAATGACACCGAGGTGAGCCGACGAGTGTTTGGTGATGATTCGGTGGAGAATTCGTTACCACTCAATAGGCTTCGCTGGTTAGGACACTTATTGAGCATTCCCAGTTGTCGTCTTCCACCCTCTCCTTCGTTCGTTGTTACTGCTCCAGGTTGCAGGAAATCATTTGAAGTTCATTAGCGAATACAGCGATTAGGTAGAATAGGTGTCTCGTATTCCTCGTTTGGGTAGAAAAGACTGATTGGTTGGAGGCGCTGGAGTGTATGGCAACGAACATACAACAGTTATTGCCACATCTTATCAAGTCGGAGTGCTTTCAAATCTGTATAATCATAACTAATTTGAGTACTCTACATTTTAATCATCGATGCTCATTTTTTTTGCCTTCTTCCAATCCCTGTTCATCTTATAAATTCTCACTTCCGTTATGTACGTTGTGAGCTTAGTAGCGATCGGCGAAGTTCGCTCCACCGTCTTTTGCCTTCATTCTCCGATAACCGGTTTAGCCAAGGTAATAATACTGAAACCAAAGGACCTCATATTTCATGAACTAAATTATTCAATTTGTAAGAAAATTGAAGTCTGCCATGTTTACGTCACACTTGCTATTGTACACGGAACCAACAGCGAGTAAGAACTAGTTTTGGAGAATGCATCATGTGGATAATTCCCTGCATGTTTCAGTGAGCGTGTGCAATCTGATCTTCGTACGCTGTCTTTTCTGTCAAAAACATCACAAATCGGCTTAAAAAAGAATTCTCCGCGAAGTTGGCGTTAACCTTGACACTCGAGAAGGCTATGACATGTACTGCGCGTCGAGTCTTAGTCTGATAGTATGGGGCGAGCCTTTTGTCACAGCAGCTAAAACGTTGATGGTGTGTTAGAATCAATTTTGTTCGCAGAAATGGATCACAAAATTGTTTCATTTAGTCGATGATATTTTTTCTAATAAGCACAATTATGTTCGAGCTTGTTTACACTTCGATATATTTATTCGATTTGGTGCATCAGATGCTTTGTCAACGCAATTCCGTGGGGTTGAGCGACTTCATTCGAACCACAGAGGAGCGTCACAAGCAGGCGGTTGAGGCATTTTGGGTAAGTTTTCAGTTCGTGTGCCACGTCAGTAAACTATATTTGGTGCTTAGTGTGTTTTTTACCCCCAGAGCTGTCCGTATTCAATCCGCAGTAAGTAGTACCTGAGAGGCGGATGCCATCAGATAAGCGTCTGGTCATGCGACCAATGTACCCAGTTCCATAGGAACAAATAAATGAGTATACACAGATAGAAACTGAGGAATCTGGCACTTTCTTCGAATCGGAAACACGCAATTACTTTGGATGTAAGTAGCGTTCTTACTTGTCCAGCGTAAAATGTTCTATTGACTGCGACTGAAAGACTTCTTCAGATATTTTCTGGCTCCGTATCTCCTTTGGACGGTAGGCGAACATATACAGGCTTTCTAACGATCCCTATTTCCTTAGATTTGTCCATATGTTCTTACATTTCTTTGTCAATAAACCGTTCCGGATAGCCGTTTTATATAAAGACATTCCTTGAGAAGTAAGGCTCTCCATCTAGGCTGTCCGCCGTGCATATTATCTTTGCACCGACAACTGCATGGAACTATCATTACGGTGGCATGCAGATACGTCTTAATACGCCAGCCCGTTGTCTTCTTTTCTCAGAGTGAACTTTACGTTCCGATGGGCTGTATTGACTTCCTCTTTTAACCGATCAGTGTCCGTGTCGGTACCTACCGCATACAGCACATCGTCAACGTATCGCTTGTATAGAGTGCACTGTCTGATAGAGAACTCAAGTTTATGATAATTTTTCATGTTTGACCATAAAAATGTCGGCAATTAATTTCCCTAAAGGTGACGACTTAATTGCAAATCTATCCCTCTGGCGATCTGGTTCGCATTTGAATGGACATCGTATGTTATCTGTGCATCCAAATGGTAACTGTTTCAACTCATCCAATGGAATGCTCAAATCGATGTTGTTTGCCTGAATGAATTCAAATATGTAATTATTGGTCTCAATAATTCATTCGTTTTCGGGCAGCATCTGTTTGCTTTCGAGTTTCAGGCCCGTTTAGGTTTCCTCAATATGAAAAGTGTCCATCCGAATGCGTTTGGAAATAACACCTCTTGCTGGCTTACCACTTTATCGGGATAAAAGTTTAAGGGATCTGGAAAACAAGGTCGCATCCTTTTTTTAGTGGTCGTGGTATTTATCGGCGAGCAGTATAACCAGTGAATGATACAGACAACCCCGAATTTGAGAAGAAGTTTACGCGGAACGACCAGTTTCCTGAGCCTGTGTGCATAAAAGGATAGTCTTCGAACCTCTGTCAAAACGCTAATGACACGAGCAGACCAGGACAGCTTATGAATGAGGATAACACCGAGGTATTTAATAAAATCCGATTTTGGGATACTATGACTATTAACTGTAAGGTTAGGGATATTATCCCAAAATCGGATTTTATTAA